CATTCCTGGTTGTGAGAGGTACGGGGTGTCCTTGTCCAGACTTTTGTGGACAGAGGCGGGATCTCTTGCACAATGGGGATTTGTGTGTTATTTTGGGGGGACCTGGCCCACTGCCCCGCCAGCTCCCCGACTCCTCCCTTTGCTTAGAGTCACAAACTTTGAACGGACCAGCTGGGAGGGCCTTATAGTTCACCTTGTCCACCCTACCCTGTACAGCTGGGCAAACTGAGGCTCTGAGAGGCTCAGCGTTTGCAGTTCGTGTGGACAAGGGACCCTGGCTCTTCCAGCGTACCGGGCACAGATGCCTGTCCTCTTTTTGGACACTCCACAGCCCTGGGAAATAGGCAGAATTAAACAAGGGCCCCACGGGATCGCTGTAAAAAGTCTGTGAGTTAGTTCTTGTCGCGAGCTTCACCTGGCCGTGGCGGGCACTCGGTAACCGGCGCTGATTACGCTGTTACTCAGCCCACCACCTCGGGTGTCCTCAAGCAGTTCCCTTCTCATTAAAGTTTAAAGACCAAACTTTAAAACCACGGAAAAGACTATCCCAGGAAACCACAGTAAAATGACTCCACCTGACTAACGAAAAGTCACTGAATGTTATTTCTGGGCCTCTACGGAGTAAATACTCCAGCCGTGGCTTTGTGTCTTTGTCCTTGTCCGTGGCGGACATCACCAATCCATCACCGCACACAATGTCAGACTCCTTCTCCACAGAACCCCTTTCCAGGGGGCACCTGGGGACCGATTGGAACGGACTTGACATTTTGCCACTTGAAACCCACTGCCAGCCAATTGTGGGACCCCTTCCGGCCCTCAGCCTCCTCCCACTGCGGGCCGGGTTGGAGCACCAGCACACACAGCTGAGAATCCGGTGTCTCTCTGATACCCAGCCACAGACGCTGTCTTTGGAACAGGTCTGAGCAGACTCTTCATCTCAGAGCTTGGTCCCGGTTCTTACCCTCTCCTGTTGAAAAGCCCCCAACCCAAACCACAGAGCTCTGCACATGGCTGCCGTGTTCACTTCCCGTGGCCACCATAATGAAGAAGCACGGAATGGGTGGCTTAAAAAAAAAAGAAAAAGAAAAACAGAAATTAACTGTCTCACAGTTCTGGAGGGTGGAATTCTAAGACTGAGGTGTCGGCAGGGTTGGTTCCTTCTGGGGTCCCTGGCAGAGAATCTATTCCATGCTTTGTCTCGAGCTCCTGGTGGCCTAGCGTTCCTTGGCTTGTAGAAGTGTCATCCCATCTCTGGCATTCTCCCTGTGTGCGTATGTGTGTCCAAATTTCCCCGTTTTATAAGGACGTGAGTCACATTGGCCTGGGGCTCACCCTAATGACCTCACGTTAAATCGATTACCTCTGTTCAGACTCGATCTTCAAATAAGACCACATTTTGAGGTCTGGGCATTAGGACTTCAACGTGTCCTTTACGGGGGACACTATTCAACCCATAAGAGCTTCCTTACTTTTTAAATGGAAACGACTCTGTTTTTGTTTGTTTGTTTGTTTGTTTGTTTACTTCATCTATGTTCATTGTAGAAAGGCCAGATAATCTAGAAAAATCTGTGAAGAAAAAGTAATTATCAATTATCTCCCATAACTCAATGACCAGAAATAGCTTTGGCAATTATTATTTGGGGTATTTCCTTCTACACTTCTTTTTCTCTGAATGTAAAGGGTTACACTATTTTTCTTTTTACGAATGAGATTGAAGTTATAGGTTGTCTTTACGACCTGTCATTTTTGCTTCGTCTATCTCAGATGACATTCCATGGCAATAAATCTGTTCCACATCTTCTTTAATGGCTCCGTGTCATTCCATAGGAATGTCGTGGGTTTTTTTGTTGTTTTTTGGGTTTGTTTTTTTTTTTTACGTAATTTCTGCTGGCTTTGTTAAATAAGCAACAGGTTTTTTATTTTTATTTTTTTTCTCCCATTTTCTCCCTGAAAACCACGCCACAGAGCATATCTTCATGTTCTGGCCTGAATACTTCTGTAGGATAAATTCTTTCGGAGGGCATTGCCAGCCATGTAAAGGTTTTGAGGTCCCCTAACTACAGATTTGTTTCTACCCTTCCTTTCCCTTCAGCCTTGGCGGGGGGGCGGGGGCATCCTGGCTTTGTGGGAGACAAGAGGCTGCCAAGTCACCCCGTGTCTGAGAAAGTCGACGGTGGCTTGTCACTCCTGGCCTCCAATTTCCTGTCCCTTTCTAAAGATGCCAGGGCCGTGCTGCTGCCTTCTTATCTGCAGCTCCCAATTCCTTCATCAGCCCCTTATTACAAAGCCAAGGGTAGGTTCGTGGCCTTTCCCCATCCCTCCCATAAACTCCAGAGCAGCAGATATTGACAAGAGACATTCCAGATGGGCATCAAATGGCATCAAACCCCAGCGACGAGCTGCAGGAAATGGCAGGGCTTCCTGGAATCCAAAATTAACCAGGCCCCCTGATTTATCCATTTAGGATCCTGGCAGTTCAGTGTTTTATGTTATTTTTTCGACAGATCCTGGGCCACTTGTTGCTAATTTCCCCCGAGAGCTGGCGAGCGGAGAGGCAGGCTAGCGTCTGTCTCTCGCCCCCCTAGAATGCCATCTGTCCACATGAGACAGCTGGCCCATTAGCCAGAGGAAGCACCCCCCTGTGCCCGTGCAATCCATTTGATTAGTGCTGCAGAGCATCTGTTTGCAGACTGCCTGGCGGCGTGTAGGAATCCAGCCCACCCCAGCCAGGCCAGCTGCAGGGCGGCTGGAGCCAGGGCCATTGCTGGAATGGGGGACGTCCAGGTGGTGGCATTCAGTTCCTGGCTTGGTGCCCTGCCCCTCAGCCCCGGCTCCTCCAGAGTGCCAGCCCCTGCCATCATGGGGTCCTGGTGGTTTTTGGTGTATCTGTGGTCCCATCGTCTCATAGATAAGCCACACGTGTGGCTTGAGGACCTGACTTGCCCAAGTTTCCAGGAAGGTAATGGCAGAGCCAGAATTCGAAGCCGGTACCACCACCCATTAGCTGTGTGCTCTTGGGCAAGTTTCTCTGCCTCTCTGAGCCTCAGATTACTCCTTCGTGAAATGGGTAACAGTGTCTGCTTATACCGAGGACTCAGAGGTGGATAGTGTCATCATTGTTCTCTTCCTTCCTCCCAGGGGAGCCTCAGGGGAGCCGGGGTAGCATGATCGGGGCGATCAATGGCCAAGAATTCGGGGTGGCCGCCCTCAACACCAGTGTGCAACGGGAGGCACGTTCTGGGGTCACCACCATCCAGAGCAGCATCAGCCACATCCCTGCGAGTGTGGGTAAGTGGGGATCAGAGAGTCTCTTGCCTCTGGGGACCCTCTGACCCATGCTAGAGCCAGGAGGAGGCAAAGCCTGTGTTCCAAGGCTCTCGGCCGGGGAGTGGGGGGGGACACAGGGAGGGACACAGAGAGGGACACAAGAGGAAATGTGACCGCCTCTAAGAGCAGAGTCCAAGCCAAAGTGGATTTAGGTGTGGGCCACTTCCTCCCCACCCCGCGCCCCCCAAGGAAACATTGACTGCATTTAAAATCAGACCAAGAGCATGTGCAACCATCTGGCTGTGTGAATGCAGATCAGATCATGAGCTTGAAACCACTGACGGCTGTCTGAGATTTTTTTCCACTGTTCAAGCAAAACCTGATAGAAAAATGAAAGCGTCACCAGTGACGATAAGGGATGCAGGCAGGAGGGGACAGAAGGGAGAGAGGTTGAGAGTAAAATTAGCCGGAAGGCCCAGAGAACCAAGAAAAAGTCCACTTTTGGACAGATAGGTAAAATAGCGTGTCCTAAGCAGATGGAACGTTCTGGAGGGTATGTTGCAGACACTGACATAATGGATGCTGCTGTCTCGCCCTTCCCAGGCCACCTGTGTCCCCTCGTGGGGGTCCAGAGCAGGGAGAGGGCAGTGCTGACAGGGTCTTTCCTAAAAGCAGCTCCTCCAGGGCTGCCCTTGATTACAGGCCTGTGTGAACGGTGTGGGGACTTTGGCTGTGGATGGGGGGGTGGGGGTCACTCCGAGCTGGCCGTCAGCAGAGAGAGAATGAAGCGAGACGCTGCCCAGACGCGGTTCCCTCTTCCAGCTGCAGGAACAGAAGCTGCAGAGAAACATCTGGCCCCAAGCCCCAGGGCCAGGCTGTGTGTGGCCGAAACAGGCACAGAGCCGTAGAGAAGGTTCAGCTCCCACCCGCGGGCCCAGAACAAGAAGCTCCCCTGTCAGGACCGCAAGCGAGTGGGGTTTCCCTTTCCTGAGTCCAGGGCCCCACCTGTCCCAGGAGGAGGGCTGGGCATCATGGGATGGTCTGAAAATTCCACGTCCAGGGCACTTCAGCGCTCTTTTTTTTTCAAAGTCAGTGGCTTAGAACCATCCTTCCTCTCCCAGGCTCTTCGGCGAGGTAGGAGACCTTGCCGATGTTCAGCTCTGTCCGGCACATTCGTAATTACGGTCTGTGCAGTCCCAGGCACTGCAGTGGCCCAGAAGCCCTCAGTGTTTGTGGAATGGAGCTGAACATCAGCAAGTTACATGCGCTTCTTTGTGTAAATACATGTTGTTAATTTTCACAACTCCTCCAAGAAATAGACATTGGCCTTTGCCACTTTCCGGGTTCTGATCCAGTAAGTGGTCCAGGTAATCTTGGGGCTGAGTGTGGGTGGGGCGGGAAAGGGTTGCACTCCCCTGGGGCTAATAGGGCGCCGCAGAAGGACCTCTGGCAGGAGAGGCTGCCCGGGGCATCCGGCCCTAACCTGGCCTCCACGCCACACCCTGCGCCACCCAGGGCCTCTGATGCGGGCGCTCGTGGTCACCATCTCCCCCATCTACTGGGCGCTGGCTGGAGAGAGCGGAGACGCCTTGAATGGCCACTCGCTGACGGGCGGCAGCTTCCGGCAGGAGTCACACGTGGAGTTTGCCACAGGTGGATGGGGCCGCCCCCTGGGGGAGCCAGGCGGGGCTGGGCCTGAGCCCGGGGCCTCTCCCTGGTGGTGACTCCAGGTTGGACCGGGATCGATTACAGGGGAGCTGCTCACGATGACCCAGGTGGCCCGGGGCCTGGATGCCAACGGCCTCCTGCTCCTCGATGTGCTGGTCAATGGCGCTGTCCCCGAGACCCTAGCTGACGCAGAGCTTCAAGTGCAGGTATGGGCAAGCCCTGGGGTGCACAGATGGGGTGCACGGATGGGGAGGGTGAGAAAAAGCGTCATGTGCTACCCACAACTACCCCCTAGGAGCCAGGCTCGCTTTCCTTCCCGGGGCGTGGCCTGGCCTCGGACCTACGGGAGAGCTAGTGCCGTGGGCTCGGCCTCCCCATGTCCCGTAAACAAGAACTTCGAAGGGCAGTGACCCGTCCGAGGCTGCCCGCTGCTTGGAGGAAGGGCTGAGGGGCCCACAGGCTCTCCTCCCTCGGCACCTCCATGTCCCATGAGTGGGGGATGAGGGTCCCAGGTCCCAGGTCACTTGGAAGTGGACCTCCCAGATGCCGACTCCCCTCCCCCGCCCCCTCCAGGACTTCCAGGAGCGCTATGTGCAGACGGGGCCCGGCCGGCTCTACGTGGGCTCCACACAGCGCTTCCTGCAGGATGGGCTCCCTGTGTCCCTGCGCTGCAACCACAGCGTCCAGTACGACGCAGCCCGGGGCCCCCAGCCCCAGCTGGTGCAGCACCTGCTGGCTTCGGCCGTCAGCGCGGCCTTCGAGCCTGAGGCTGAGGCCCTGCGCTTCCAGCTGACCACAGCCCTGCGAGCTGGTGAGGGCCTCATCCCCTCTGCACCCCCCGCCACCCTGCTGAAAGCCGGGGTGACGGCCCACCCTGGTGACGGCCCGCCCGTTGCATCCACCGACCATGGACCAGAGACTCGGGGCTGAGACAACCCACTTCCTTGCCCCGTCCATCCATCCACACCCCGACGGGAACACAGCTCCTCAAGCCACTCCAGAGCTTTACCCCAGGCCCTAGGGGGAAAATCTAAACCACCCCTCCCACCACCAGGCTGAGTTCAAGACGAGCCACGCCCACCCTCTTCCCAAGGTTGCCTGCAGCAGGGTCCCCGCCTAGGGAGACCCACAGGACCATGCCACATATTCTCAACCAAAGGATGCTAAAAGTGTACCTGTCTCCACTGTGTGAGGTCTCAGCATGTTTTTAACCCTGAACATGGACGGTGGTCAGAGCACCGCTCTGAAGTCAGGCAGACCCTGGTCCAGACCCGGCTGCCCCACTGCGCGTCTGCGAGACCTGGCAGGCAGAGCCCTGGCCCTCTCTGAGCCTCTGATTGCCCATCCGTGACACGGACATGACCCTGGCTGCCTTCTAAGGTGTCAGGAGTACAGGTGCTGCCTCTGAAACCCTCGCCGGGCACCCGATGGCTGCTTTATCAAGGGCGCTGTCCTTACAATCATGCCAGCAGTCCGGCCCCCTTCCTGTCAGAGCAGGCTGCCCCTGCCCTGCCTCGGGCTTGCCGTCCCCGTCAGATGCTCCCACGTGCCCACAGCAAGAGGCCACGTCCACTCCGCTGGATTCTCAGGAGCACAGCTTGGCACATGCAGAGCCCCCCACCCCCACCGTTTTGTGCTTGTCGCTAATGATCTCTCCCCGGTCTGCCATCCGCGGTCTAGCCAGCCCACCATGAGCCCCTCGTGGCATGACGCACAGCCAATGCCTCCGACAGGCCTGGGCTCTGTCGGAACGGGCTCGCTGACTCGCCGGGCACCAGCCAGGCTTAGGACTGGGGCAGAGCACCCGCTGAGGGGCCCCCGGCCTGACCGAGTGTGGGGGAGGGAGCGGTGGGCCTGGGCTATGGCCAGAGCTGCTCTTTGTCCCTAGGCGTCTTCTGTCCTTAAGGCCTGTTCTCTTTGCCTTGCAGAAGAGAACGAAATCGGCTGCCCGGAAGGCTTCGAGCTGGACACCCAGGGAGAGTTTTGTGTGGGTGAGCACCCTGTCCCCAGCCTGGCATGGACGAGGGAGGCCTCTTAGCCTGGGATGGCCAGCTGGCAGGAGGGCCTGGGCACGCAGACCACCAGCTCCCCCCACCCCCCAGACAGGGACGAATGCTCGGGTGGCCCCAGCGCCTGCTCCCATTCCTGCCACAATGGGCCCGGCCACTTCTCCTGCTCCTGCCCGGCTGGCTTCGCCCTGGCCGGGGATGACAGGAACTGCAGAGGTGAGTGGGGTCCCGGAGGCGAGGCCCTCCGTGGACCTGGCCCGCGTGTGTGCAGGGCCTTCTGGGGCGAGGGCTCTGGCCAGGGGACATACATGCAGGAGCTGGCCTGGTTCTGAGGGCCCTGGATGCCAGCCCGGGGGTTCCAATGCCCTGCGTCCCCTGGGAACTTTCATTGTAAGGGCTGCAGATGGGAAAGGCTCAAGTACTGGGGGGTGCTAGGGATCCCCAAAGACATACACATGGCTGTCATGTGCTCCCGGCACTTGTACCCGCTGAGCCTGGGCACGACCTCGGAAGTAATCCCTACGCTCAGCGGTCATTTCCAGTAACTGAGGTTGGAGGTGAGCTGACACGCATCTGCCCCACTGGCTCTGCGTGTCCCCTCAGTGACGTTGTTGGACAGCCAATCTGACCCCGGGACACCGTCCAGACACTGACCGCCCCCATCTGCAACCCTCCATTCCCACCAGTGGGACCTGGCGCTGCCACATCTCCACTGGGCGTCCATGGGGCATTGTCGGCAACCTCACATCAGATGCCACCTCGGGTCCCTGAGGGCGGGCTCTGCGTTTCTGCGGTTGCCGAGATGATGGACAGAGCTAGCGTGAGGGATGGGACCACCATGCCTGAGGCTCCTGGGCCTGGGGACAAAGCTAGTATTGGGAGGCTGAGCCAGAGCTGGGCGGCGAGGAGGGACCCGGGGGGCATGTGTTCATGTAGCCACTGTCCCTGTCTGCCCCCAGATGTGGACGAGTGTGCGTGGGACACTGACGTTTGCCCAGGGGGACAGCGCTGTGTGAACTTGCTCGGGTCCTACCGCTGCCTCCCTGACTGCGGGCCTGGCTTCCGGGTGGCCGCGGATGGGGCCGGTTGCGAAGGTGATGGGGGCATGCGTGGGGTGGCCCGTGCTCCTGGGAACCCGGCGGTTGCCAGGATTCAGAGCGGGTGCCGCGTGTCACTGGGACGCTAGGCTTTCAGGGCAAGTGACACTCTCTTGGCAGAAGGAGTATGGGGAGGCCAGGCGGAGGGCCCGAGCTGGACTCAAGAGGAGTCCTTGAGTCCTCACCTGGCCTGAGTCCTCACCTGGCCTGGCTGCTAGCAACTCGAATACCTCTGAGAAGTGTCCTCTCTGGGCCTCGGGCTTGTCATCTGTCTGTCCGATGAGGGGGACCCGGTCGGGGATGGCAAACGCATGCGACATCTGTGACCACTTCTTTTGTTCCTGCTCCCGCATCCTGGCCCGGCAGGGACAGATGCTGAACCCCTCTCAGCACGGCTTCCCCAGCCGCCGCTACGGACCAGTTGCAGTTGCCCTCTGAGATGAAACCTAGGTGCCGCTCCTGGACGGGTGACCTCTAGGGTCCTTCCCGCTCCAGCATCCTATGGTTTCACAATCCTGGATCCTCCTGGCTCCTCCAAGAGAGGCCATCGGTGGATGGGGGAAAGCACGGTGGCATTTGAACTCAGAAAGGTGGCCATGCCACTCCAGTGGCCTCAGAGTCCTCCGGTCCCTCTTCATAGGCTCTCCCGCTCCCGCCTTTCTGCCCTCCCTCTGTTTTTGGATTTTTTAATTTAGCTCTTCCCACGTACCAGCCGCCCAAAACCTTCGCGTGCCTGATCCAATTTTCTTCCTCCGCCTCATGAAGAGGTCCCGACCTCTCTCTACAGATGAGGAAACTGAGGCTCAGAGAGGGAGAGTCACTTGGTCAAGGACCAAGAGTTGTGGCAGAATTTGGTCCAAACCCAGGACTCTGCCCCCAGGGCCCCTCCCCTCTTTCTTTGGGACCCAGAACTTTTTTACCTTCCGAAGCTGGTGGAGCTGGGAGGGGTGTTCGCGTCCCGCCTGATGGCACTGGAACCGGACAAGGGGACGGGATGGGGAGCTTGGGGGAGGGGCCCTGGGCTTGTCCCCACCCCTGCCCACACCCCTGCCTCCCCAGATGTGGACGAGTGTCTGGAGCAGTCGGATGAATGTCTGTACAACCAGATCTGTGAGAACAGCCCAGGCGGGCACCACTGTGGCTGCCCCAGGGGGTACTGGAGCCAGGGCCCTGGCCTACCCTGCCTAGGTATGGGGACGCCCACCCCCTAGTTGGAACCCTGGTCAGCGCCTGACATATAGCACCAACACTGATGGTGCGCTCACCAGGGGCCTGGATGCCTGCTCTGCCACCCCAAACCTCAGCCCTACCCTGCAAGGTCACCTTCCCAGGGGGCCTCAGAGGAGGAGGGTGAACAGAAGTGAGTGGGTCTCAGAGAAGCTTAGGGGGTAGCTGGGCCTCACTCGGACCTTGGGGGAGGTTGAGGCCTCTGAGCAGTGGAGGCTGGAGTGGGAGAGGAGGCTGGGGTGTCCCAGGAGAGGGCAGGCGTGAGGCAGCTGGATTCTGGGGAAGGCTGGAAGGCTGTGGCGAGCCCTGAGCCCCCCTCAGCACCCCGCCTGTGCCTTCCAGATGTCAACGAGTGCCTGCAGCTGCCCAGGACCTGCGCCTACCGGTGCCACAACCTCCAGGGTAGCTACCGCTGCCTGTGCCTGCCAGGCCACACCCTCCTGCGTGACGGAAAGACCTGCACCCCGATGGAGCGGAGTGGACGAAACGTGACCACCGTCAGCCACCGGGCCCCCTTGGTGTCTTGGCTACGGCCCCGCGCGCCCACCCCTAGTGCTTCCTACCACACCTGGGCCTCCCCCCGAGTGGGCCCCGGAGCCCTGAGCAGTGGGGGCCGGGCCTGGTGCCCGGCCGGCTTCATCCGGCAGCACGGCGTCTGCACGGGTAAGGCGGAGCCCCAGCACCCACCCAGGACACACCCCGCTCTGGGCTCCTGGGCATGTGGGCACCACGCCCCGTGTTCACAAACCCAGGGCCGCAGGCGGGCAGGGTGGGGTTTGCATCTTGACACAGGACATTTCGGGGCCCTGGCCGTGCTAATGGGCAGGGGCCTTCCAAGAGAAGGTAGCTTCCAAACCATTTAGCTTTGGGACACTTGGCCCAGAGGGAGGGTTTCCTGAGCACGTTCTGGGCACACGTGCCCAGGAACCCACTTCGAGAAACAGCCCCCTTGATGCACAGAGGTGGAGCAGCAGGGGGATTGTCAGGAGTCACGGAGCACGTTCCAGGTTGACATGAGAATGTGGAGACCAGTGACCAGTGGGGACGGGGCTGAGGGGTCCGGGGCAGCCCCCTGGCTGCAGGGAGGGGAAGGGGCAGTGGCCTCGGGGGCACACGTGCTTCAGCATTCCAGCTTGGACAGAGGGCTCCCCTACAGCCTTGGTGAATGTGAAGTGGGAGGGGCGGCGCTCCCCACTCTCCCCAAGCTCTGGGACTCTCCTGACACCCAACCCAGGGTTGGGTGGGGCAGGGAGGAGGTCAGTGTGGGGATCAGAGGCAGGCTGCCTAAGGGACCTCCTGGGCCGGCCCCGAGCCCGGCAGGCAGGTGTGTGGCCACCTGCGTGTCTGTGACTCGGCATGTACCTCTGCCTTCATCACTCCCTAACCGATGCCTGGGGCCAGACCTGGACGAGTGCCGGGTGAGGAACTTGTGCCAGCACGCCTGCCGAAACTCCGAGGGCAGCTACCGGTGCCTCTGCCCCGCCGGCTACCGCCTCCTCCCCAGTGGGAAGAACTGCCAGGGTGAGCTGCTGCCCCGATGCCACAGGGGCCAGGGCAGGGCTTGTGCTTTCTCCAGCCTCTTCTCCACCGTCTCACGGGAGGGAGGGACAGGGATGAGTCGGAGGGGTTAAGTGCAATACCACCTCTTGACGAAATACGGCTGACGCAGTCCTACCCTAAACTGCTGGAGGAGGGATGTGGAGCGTGGGCAGAGCCGCCCTCGGCCCTCACAGCGGGGCAGCCTGGGCTGGTAGTAGCAGTGAGTTAGCGCACCCTCCCTAACATGCCCCGGGCCGGGCCAGCCATGCGCTTCCCCTGCTGGGCAGTGGGAACTGCGCCTGCCTATCTGTCTCCATCCCTCACCCTCTGTCATGGCGTCGGTGAATGTTCTCTGAGAAGGGTGGAGCATCCCCGCAGACAAGGACTGGGGGGCTCTGCCCACGGCCCACGGGCACTTTGGGTCGGAGGACAGCCCTCATCTCTCCCAGGCTCTCCAACCCAGCTCTAGGCTCAGAGGTCCCCTGGGTGCCCACCACCATGCCCTGGGTGCTAGGGGCCTGCTGGCGGGGTCGTCATGGGCCAGACTGGCTGGGGACAAGGGCAGAGGGGCTGCCCACCTCCAACCTCCAAAGGCGTTTCTCTCCCACTTACTCGCCACCCCCCACCCCCGTCCCCGCCCAAAAAATTCTCTGGTTCCTGCCTCCAGCCTTAAGCCTTTGCTCGATCTTTTCATCCTCTCCTCTTCCCCAACCTCCCCCTCGCAGATATCAACGAGTGTGAGGAGGATGGCATCGAGTGTGGGCCTGGCCAGATGTGCTTCAATACCCGTGGCAGCTACCAGTGTGTGGACACGCCATGTCCTGCCACCTACAGGCAGGGCTCCAGCCCAGGGTGAGGCTGAGCGTGCCGGGGCAGGGGTAGGGGTGAACTGGAAATGGGGAGGCGTGTTATCTTCAGGGAGCTGGGCAGCTGGCACTGTGGCTCCTGTGTGGCCGGGCCCCTTTTCCAGGCCATGTGTCAGGCAGACACATGGGGTCCACCCTGCCTGAACTCCAGGGCAGGGCCGCTGTGCCCACAGAGAAGTGTGCCCTCAGGAAGAGCACCTGCCTGCAGCCACCCGGGGCACAAGCTTGCCTGGACAGTACCATTTCCTGCACAGTGACGCCTCACCACGAGCACAGAGCACTGGGGGCCGGGGGAGGCCAGAGCTGGGAGAGGATGGGGCCAGGTGGGGGATGCTGGAAGATGTACATATATGGGGACACATGAACGCACGCAAAATCCTGGACACAGGAACAGACACACCAATGACACCCAGAAACACACACAGAACCCCGGGACTCAGACACACACAGGTGCAAAACACACAACACACTTCCACCGCACCATTCGCTGTGGCTGCAGACACTCAAAGACGCAGGGACATGGGGACCTTGGCTAGCAGGAGCTGCACCTGCAGCGTCAAGAAAATGACCTGGGTCGTGACTTGCCCTGGGCACTGCTTTGTGGTGGCAGTGGGGAGCCTCTGCAGGGCTGAGCAGGGTCTCTGAGCCTCCTTGTCCGCCCACAGCCCTCTGCAAATCCAGAGCAGGCAACTCGCTCTGGGTGGGGGCTGGGAAAGGCGCTGGGTGGACCTGCTCCGATGGCAAAAGGCTCGTCTCTGGCTCCTTTGGGCCTCAGTTTGCTGATCTCCAAGACGGGATGACAGTGGCGCTTGTAGAGAAGGCATTTGGGGCGACGCAGGGGTAAACAGTGGAGGCTGGGGGTGAGGTCTGGTTTCTGCCGGCGCACAGCGCGGGACGGCAGCCAAGTCGGGATGGCAGCCAAGTCGGTGCCTCTGTCCCTCCCGCAGGACGTGCTTCCGCCGCTGCTCGCTGGACTGCCGCGCGGGCGGCCCCTCCACGCTGCAGTACAAGCTGCTGCCGCTGCCGCTGGGCGTGCGCGCCCACCACGTCGTGGCCCGCCTGGCCGCCTTCTCCGAGGCCGGCGTCCCTGCCAACCGCACGGAGCTCAGCGTGCTGGAGCCGGATCCGCTCAGCCCATTCGCACTGCGTCCTCTGCACACGGGACTCGGCGCCGTCTACACCCGCCGCGCGCTCACCCGCGCTGGCCTCTACCGGCTCACCGTGCGCGCCGTGGCGCCCCGCCACCAAAGCCTCTTTGTCCTGCTCATCGCTGTGTCCCCCTACCCCTACTGAGGGGCGGGGTCGTTGGTAGCAGCTTTTGGGCCAGCGAGCTCAGGGTGGTGAGAGGGCGCAGGCCACGCTACTGGTGGGACAGTGTGGCCCTTGCGCTTGAGCACGCCACCTGCTGTGGCAAGAGACGTCATCTTCTCCGTCCTCTGTGCGTCATCGGGACTTTCAGCAAACACGACCCAGCGCTCAGCCTTGACCCAGGACAGAGGGCTGGAGCTCCCCCTACTCCCCCTTACTCCCTCCCCGCCCCCTGCAGGTGACAAAGGCTACCCATGGGTGTCAAAGCTCACAGGCTGGGCTGAGATGAAGCCTGTACGTCTGACCAGCTCCTCCAGGCTTGCCCCAAGCCCCAGGGGCGCCTGGACTAGGACACAGTGTCCCAGGACACCGGAGGGGAGGTGCAGACCCTGTGGGAAGAGCAGGAGCTGCCACCCACCCACACCTGCACTGCCATCGGGGACCCAGCGTGTGCATGTATACCATAAAAATGTTTGTTTTTAACCAGCTCGATTTCTTCATCCAACTCATTGCTTTGGTCAGGTGGGGCTGTGGCTGGGAGAGAGAGAACCACTGCCTCTGGTCCCGCAGCTCTGGGACGGGAGACCAGCAGCCCGCTGGGTACAGAGGGTGGCCCAGGTCCCTCTCTGGGCTGTTTCTTCATCCAAAAATGTGAATATGACAATAGCCAACCCCATAGGGCTGTGGGGCGAATTAAATGAAAATGAAATGCATTACACTGATAGCAATACGTGGTAGCAAAAAGTAATTTCTTAATTAAGAATAATTCTTAATTATTTTTATTTTTATTTATTTTTATTTATTTATTTGGTTGACCTCACAGATTGCAAAGACCTCGTCAGGTTACAATCTCTTATTTTTTTAATTTTTTACACCTATAGCACCTGGTCTTCCTAGGTGGTCTCCCATCCAAGTACTAACCAGGCCTGACCCTGCTTAGCTTCCGAGATCAGACGGGATCCGGCTTGTTAAGGGTGGCATGGCCGTAGAATTCTCAATTATTTGTAATGAATTAATTAAATTCAGTCATTTACTCATCCCCCAAAGATTCATTAGGTCCTCCCTATGTGCCAGGCAGTGAACGTAAAATCCTGCGTTCGTGACCACACGTCCTAGTGGCAAAAGGTTTATAAACAAGGGAAAGGAAGACTAAAATGTGTGCTTGTCAGTGAGTGAGGGGCGTGAGGGGGGAAACCAAGTTGGGAAGGAGGGAGGCGGGGGCCAAGGGATCGTTTTTTAGCAGGCCAGTCGCGGTGGGCCTCAGGAGAAGGTGGCGTTTCAGCAGGGACCTGAACAAAGCTTTGCAGAGGTCTGAGGGGGACATCCTGGCAGAGGGAACAGCAAGTCCCAGGGCCCTCGGGGAGGAGATGCTGGGTGGTGGAGGTCGGACAAGGGGGCGCAGGAGGCTGGGGACAGGGTGGTGGGTGGGGGAGGCTGGAGCTTTGGGCAGGAGAGGGAGAGGAGGGAGGTGCCATTGGAAGGGTGAGGGGGTTGGGGCAGATCCCATGGCCTTGGGGCCACTGCAGGGACTTTGGCTTTGACAGTGAGCTGGGGAGGGACAAGATTAGAAGATCTACGCATGTACTGGCGTGTCTCCAGTGTCGGGGACAGGGTGTGAGTCTCAGGGGACTCAGCGGAGCCCAATGCTGCTTCTGCCACTCTGCCTGTCCCTGCCCTCCTCCTGGGCTGGCTGCAGCTCCAGCCTCAGCCCCTGACCACCCTGTCACCAGCTGCTCTGGACATAGCCTCTGGCAGAAAAAGGCTATCTTTTTTTTGCACATGGTTTTGGAGAAGAGGGATCTTTTCTCTCTGCTGCCCTTGCTCAGTGTGACACTGTCACCTCCCCCTTCTCTCATCTCCCTAAAGCAAGGAAAGCTGTCTGAGTTATTTCCCCCGAGGGGCCCATGGCCATCAGACTGTGCCAGCCGTGCTGCTGCAGTAAACAGAGAAGAAGTCTCTGTGCCCATTTTACAGGTGGAGATAAAGAGGCTCAGAGAGAGAGAGGACATGACCCAGTCGCTTGCCTGATAGGTGACCGATGGTCAATGGTTAGAATGAGTCTCCTGACCAGACTAACAGCCCCAACTGAATCTGCCCCGGCGGTTCCGGTTCCACTAGCAAAGCTGGTTTTGTTTAAACCAGGGGTCTGCGGCCGTTTTCTCCAAAGGGCGGCATGGTGACTATTCCGGGCTTCGCAGAACATCGAGTCTCTGTGGCCCTGCCACTGCAGCCCCGGAGCAGCCACAGTCAACACGGGAACGGTAGAGCGAGGCCGTGTTCCGATAAAACTTTATTTGTGGACACTTACCTTTGAAGTTCACATCATGTTCACGGATCATGGAATCATCTTTTGATTTTTTCCCCCATTTACAAATGCAGAAACCATTCTTAGCATGCAGGCTTGACGAAAACACAGGTGGTTGAAATGGTAGAAGTCACTACTGGTGGAATTTCAGGCTGAGTGGAGGAGAGACGGGCAGGAGGGGACTGGGAGAGGGGCTTCCCAAGCTCTCCCACACCTCGTTTGTACAGGGCCCCGCTGTGGGGCCTTTGGGCTGAATGCCTCCCTTTGTGCAACCCTGCTGCCCATAGGGCTCATGCTGTGACCTATGAACCCTGCCCTTTGCTGTTAATTTTTTATGGAGCCAGAGACTTTTCGCAGCCCAGGAGGGCCGGGGGAGCAGGATGAAGAGGAAGGACCACGGAAATTCAAGACTTGAGGCACCACCGAGGGAGTGTCCATTCAGTGGGGCCTCCCTCCTCCCCCACCTTCCCCTAAATTTCCCATTCGAGGCTATGACCCAGAGGCTGGTGAAAGGGGTGACTGCTGAAAGTCCCACAGCCAGCCCGCGGCTCACTGCACCCTGAGTCCAGGCTGTGATTTCCAGTCTGGGGCTGCCCCACGCCACCCAGCCCTGCCCACACCCACAGGGATAGTCGTCCAGCAGAGCAGCCAGCTCCAAGGGGTGTTTCCATTTCCGCTTTTCCAGCTGCCAGTCGTCATTGGCCAGGATCCTGTCCTGCCGCCCAGCCCGCCAGTGCCACCTGACCTCTGAGGCTGTTCCGAACCATCAGAGGTGGAAAACAACCCTGCAGGTCACTTATTAAATTCTATGATGCAGCTTTTCCAAGAACTCAACAACTGGACTCTGTGTTCCCACTGGGTGGGGACTGGCAACCTGGGGTCCAGCCTAGAAGACACTCACTTCCTGAGGCCAGTGCCCAGGCCCAGGCACTGGCAAAGTAGCTTCTGATGCCAACCGTGAGATGGCTACAGGTCGAGATGCTTGGGGTCTCTACACGCCCAGCCCCTCCACGACCTGCAGGTGTACAACTCTCGAGTGGCCGAGGAGAGACACAAGACAGGACGGGTCTGCTCCATGGTTACGTTCACAGGTGGTACCTATGTCTGTAGGTTGCTGGGGGATTTAATGAGATCACGTCCATCAAGTGTGCCGGGCAGCAGTTCAGAAAAATGGCCACAAAAGTCAGACCTGACCCTTCAAAAAAGCCACCCTGGCTGCAGTGTGGAGGGTGGATTGGAGACGGTGGTGAGCCCAGGTAGGAGGACAGGTGAGGTGTCCCCTGCAGAGGCACAGGGGAGAGGGGATGGTGGTCTAAGCTAAGACAACAGCAGTGGGGAGAGGGAGAAGGGACAAGAGCCATAGTGTTCTTCCACTTTGTCGCTGGAAACTTCAGGCGTGCATCATCTCGTGCCGGTATGAGTGAGAGGACGTAGCAAGGGGCCCATCCGCTGGAGGAGGGGAAGCGGTCAGAGGGGCATCCCCAAGGACCATAAGGCAAGAAAGATCAGCCCATTGAAGAAACCACGGCTGGCCAGTGCAGCTGGGGCGTAGTGGGCGGGGGCAGGGGAGGAGGTACAGAGCTCTAGGATTGACCTTAAGCGTGATGGGGACCAAAAAAGTCTTTTTAAAAATCATTTTAATTCAGTAATATTTCAGAATATATCTCTAAACCTAAAAAATCTTTTAAAAACATATCTACGATACCATTATTACACCTTAAAAAATCAACAGTAATTCCTTGCTATCACCAAATACCCTATCGGTGTCCAAACTTCCAATTGTTCATAAAGATAGTATTTATGGTTAAAAAATCAGGATTCAAATAAGGCCTACGCATTGTGAATGATTATCTCTTTCGTGTGTCTTTTAACTCAAAGTTCTCCCCTCTTATTTTTTTTAATTAAAAATTTAAAAATCAACTTTACTGAGATATAATGATTCGAGAAGTTCGAGGTTGGTGCAACACCTGAAAATCAATGTAATTCACCGCATTTATCAAATAAAGGAGAAAATCATATGATCATCTCTATAGCTGCAGAAAAAGCATTTGATAAAATCCAGCCCCTGCTCATAATAAAAAGTCTCAACAAACTAAGAATAAAAATGAACTTCCTCCCCTGATGAGAAGCACCTATGAAGAACTTACAGCTGACACCATACTTCATGACGAAAGACTGAATGAATGCCTTTCCCTAAGATCCTGAATAGGGCAAGGATATTCACGCTCACCAACGCTGGGGGCCCTTGCCTTTGCAATTAGGCAAGAAAAAAAAGCACGGAGATAATAAAGGGAAAAGTAAAACCATTTCTACTCACAGACAACATTATTCTCTAGAAATATCCTAGAACATCCTAAAGTATTTACAAAAATCTACTAGAATTAATCAGCGAGGTTCGCAAGGTTGCAGAACAGAAGGCCAATATACAAAAATCAATTGTGTATCTATATGCTATCACAAACAACCGGAAAACGAACTTTCAAATATCATTCGCAATAGTATCAAAATTTCCATACTATTTACAGTAGTATCGAAATGAAAGACAGGCAAGACCTATATACTGAACATTATATTGAACACTATAAAACATTGGTCAGACATCTAAGCCACGATGGAGCTTTTGGCACTCCCACAAAACTGAGGACTTTTATACCACTTATCAAAGATGCCCCAACCTACC